ACTTCTGTATGTGGACAGCGTATTTGTTGCTGCTGTTTCGCACTGATTTTGAATGAATGCAATGCTCTTTGATACCAAAAAAAAATTAACTTTGTGCCAGAAATAGGCTATCCCCGTGCAAGGGACAACAAAAGTTGTGAGTGATAATTATAATTAGGGGGGTGTTATTCCCCACTCCACTTGTTTATAACTACACTTCCCTTCATCTCTTTTTCTACGTAACGACTGAAATACCCTCCAAAAGTAATTTATTCCTGCCTGTAGTTATGCTAGTGGTTTGTTTATAAAATGAAACTTCGCGCTCCAAACTGAGATAATTTTTAGATAATATGTCAAACATTTCACCCATTTATTTTATAAAATTATGAAAAAATATGATTTTATAGTTTTTTTTGGGTTACCAAAAAGAAATAATGTGATTATTTTGTTTTCAAAAGTAGAAAAAAATGAAAAGTTATCTGAACTGGATACCTAAAATACACAAGGAGTTACCTCTGGATTTTATATTTGTTGTAAATAGATCATGAGAAGCTTTACCCGTATATTATGTAGGATAATATTTTCTCTCATATTGTTGGCCAATCATATTTCATCAACAATTAGATTTATCAATCCATGAGAATCTATTTGAATATAAATTTTATAACTTACAGTAAAAATTTCAAGAAAATTCTAAATTTCAAGTTTTTGGGAACGATATGGTAGTTTAAAGTTCTAATATAAGATAACTAAAACAATAATTAACATTTTTTGTATATTAAACTAAATGATAAAATAAGTAATACGTGCTTGTGCACAACATAATTTTTTAGATAGGAAATAACACATTTGATTATGACTATATGCTGAATTTAATTAGGATGGTCTTAAAAAATAAGTTATAATAGTGCTGAACAACTAATCCTATGTTACGTGAGTAATAGCTGCACTTCGGTTTGACCCTGATCACGCACCTGAGTATGGTGAGTGAGTCTTCCAATGAAAATTTTTTACATAAACTTGAGACCTCGATTAAGTGGAACCAAATAGCTTACCAACCCTATAATAGTAATGATAACTCCACTTCGACTTTGTTGTGTTCTTCGCAGTATAAAAAAACAACCAAAAGAAAACTTAGCTTTATCCATTAGGGATAATGGCTTAGAAAGTCCTAAAACTTTAAGTGTGATCCTATTTGAGTCCTAAAATTTCTTAGTTGATTATTGGAGTCTTGAAAGATTATAATAGAATCTAATTGAGTCCTAAAATATTATAATAGAGTCTAATTGAAACCTAAACTTATTTTTTTATCAAAATCTAGAGTTACTTTATAAATTTTAGTCTTTTAAATGTTTTAAAATATTTATTATGGTCCCTCTATCATAATTTGGGTTAATTTGGTCCTCAAATTATATATTTCAGCTCTAAAAATCTTAAACATTAAGATCTTAAACCTTAAAATACTAAATCTTACAATCCTAATCCTTAAGAATTCTGAAATTCTAAACATTATATTCTAAACTTTAAAATAACAAATCTTTGCGTCTTAACAATTTAAACACTAAACTCTAGATTAAACCCTAAATGTAGAAAATCCAACCTTAAACACTAAATTCTTAAACAATAACCTTAAAAAAATTAAATTCTAAATCCTAAAATCATAACCTTAACTCTAAACCCAAAATTCTAAATCCAAAACTCCTAAAATTTTAAATTATAAATATCAAAAAAATATAAACTTAAACCCTTAAAATCTAAAATCAAATTATAAATATAAAAAAATATAAACTTGAAACCTTTAAATCTAAAATCCTAAACGCTAAAACCTTTTAATTCCTAAAATTTAAAATCTTCAGAACTCTAAAAATGAAATCCCTATAGTCTAAGGCTCTAAATTATAAAACTCTAAACCTTAGATCTTAAACTATACGAATAATAAATTAGTATTTAAGATTTTGGAGTTTAGTATTTTAAGATTTATGGTTTAGAGTTTTTGAATTTAGTACTTAAGATTTCAAGATTTATGGTTTAGGATTTTTCATATTCATGAGCTTGAATTCAAAGATTTTAATCGTTTTATGGTTTATCATATAGGGTTTATTATTTGTGTTTAGGATTAGGGTATTTTAGTATTTTAGGGTTTAGAATTAAAAATTTTACCCTTAAAGTTTTAGGACTTTGGGTTTTTGGGTTTAGATTTTTAGAATTTAAGTTTAAAAATTAACATTTACAATTTTAGGATTTGAAATTTAATGTTTAGTGTTTAGAATTTTTAGTATATTTTAGAATTTTAAGATTTAAGGTTTAGAATATTTATGTTTAGGGTTTAGAGCCAAGTGTTTGGTGTTTAAAATTTTAAAATTCAAGATTTATTATTTAATAATTTAAAATTTAGGGTGTTAAGAATTGAAGTTTTACAGTTTAAAAATTTTAGGATTTAAAATCTATGATTTAAAATTCTTAAAATTTTAGGACCTAATTAATCTAAATTGTTATAGAGGGATCATAATAAGTATGTTGGAGAACTTGAAGGACTAAAAGTTATAAACTTAACATCTAAATTTGATAACAAATAGTTTTAGGACTCAATTGGACTCTATTATAACAATTTAGGACTCGAATAACCAACTAAGAAATTTTAGGACTCAAATAGTATTACACCTAAAGTTTTAAGACTTTCTAAGCCATTATCCTATCCATTAGCTTTTAACTATCTTTACCACTGGGACGACTGGACTCGGTTTGTTTTGGGAGAGACAGAGAGAAAGGGAGAGGAAGAAGAGAAGGAAGATGGAACTAAGAGTCTCTTGCGTTTCTGTTTGTGTTGTTCACAGCCACCGGCACCAGTTTAACTCCGGTTTGGGTAGTAGTAGTCGTAGTAGTCGTAGTAGTTATAGGGAAGGACCGGACGCAAAGAGGCAGCAGCGCGCCGGTGAGTCGTCTTTTCGTCGTCTTGTTCTTTGTACTTATAATAATAGTAGTAGTAGTAGTGGTGTCAGTTCCAATGGAGGGAGACAGAAACCCAGACACAACCCACCAAAAAAATACCCCAAAACTAAACCCACCAGTTATGCTGATAATCCCAGACACAACCCAAAAACACAGACACAACCCACCAGTTATGCCTTTAGAATGCTTGATGAGGTTCCTTTGCCTCCTATTAGCAAATTCAATAAGTCATTATCGGCCCTTGTCCGAATGAGACATTATGACACAGTAATCTCTCTGTCCAAAGAAATCTTACAGCGAGGACCCTCTCCCGATGCTTATACACTCTCCATTTTGGTGAATTGCTTATGCAAGACTGGGGAAACCGATTCTGTTGTTGGGTTGCTGAGGGGAAGAGTGGACAAAGGCAAAGAACGAGTTTCTGAGGGTTTGGATTGCCTCTCCAAAATTATCAACAGAGGGATTGCTCCTAATGTTGTCACCTTTAATATATTGGTCGATGCTTTTTGCAAAAAGGGGAGGACTTCGGAGGCTCAAGCTTTGCTGAAAACAATGAATCAATTGGGTATCCGTCCTGATGAAGTCACTTACAATTCGCTAATGGATGGATATTGTTCCTGCGGAGAAATGGATAAAGCTAGAGAAGTGTTTGCTCTGATGATGAACAAAGGTTGCACACCGAATCTTCGTAGTTACAACATCCTCGTCAACGGATACTGTAAAATGCAAAAGATAGACGAAGCAAAGGAGGTTTTTGATAGTATGGATCGATTGGGTATCCGTCCGGATGTCGTCACCTACAATTCACTAATGGATGGATATTGTTCGCGCGGAGAAATGGATAAAGCTAGAGATGTGCTTGCTCTGATGAGGAGCACTGGCTGCACACCTAATGTTCGCAGTTACAACACCCTCATTAACGGATACTGTAAGATGCAGAAGATAGATGAAGCTAAGGAAGTTCTTGATGCTATGGATCACTGGGGTATCCGTCCCAATGTCGTAACTCACAATTCAATAATGGATGCATATTGTTCGCAAGGAGAAATGGATAGAGCTAGAGAAGTGTTTGATCTGATGAGGAGCACTGGTTTCACACCTGATAATCATAGTTACAGCATCCTCATTAATGGATACTGTAAGGTGCAAAAGACTGATGAGGCGATACAGCTTTTTGAGGAAATGAATGTAAATGGCCCAATGCCGGATGCAATAACTTATTCCAATTTGGTAGATGGTTTACTGAAGCTACGGCGTGGTGATGAGGCATTAGTGCTATTGCAAGCTATGGAAAAGCATTTCGGAAGCCTATTATAGTGCTATAATATCCTTATTTGTTGTATGTGCAGATTTGGGATTTCGTTCGACATGCTAGAAAACTGTTTTTAACTCTCTATATCGGATAGTCTTGCTACCAGGTGGCTGGACATGTAGCGTAACGAGGAATTGACTTTGAAAGAAAGGGTTCCCCCACGAAGGATATAAAGTTTCAGAAAACCGGAAAAGAATGGCTCCTCACTGGACAGTTGGTATACAATGTTACTATAAAAACGAGGGTTGCTTCTACCCTGGGATCTGTCAATGGCAGCTAAATTCCTTAAGGAGGGTCTGGGATTGTCAGCAGATGCCACCACTAAAAGGCTGTTACTACATCTTTAATCTGATGCTGATGATGTCCATTTGAAAATGATAGAGATGGCTGTGGGGAAGCGAAAGTAATTTAGTGGATGAATTAGCGTTGCAGCCCAAGGATAATAATTCTACTTTTTAGTTCAGTGCTGCTTTCCATTCTTGGTTCTTTGCTTTTCTTAACTTAACTACTGCCTCTCATTATTGTAGGAACTTAACATGTTAGCTTCCAACTTCGTAGCAGATATTTTGGTTGAAATAACAAGTGAATATTGCTTACTCTTGATCAGTTCATTGAGTTTCTAGTGTAATAAATTTGAAGAAGAAAAAAAATGCAAAAAGTAACAAAACTGTGGTTTGAAGTCCTTGTCACAATTTTATTCTTTAAGAGAATGAAAAGCTAAGAACATGGTAAATTTCAGTCTCACCTTCTTTCTTTTGCTTTAATTCCACATATACAACTTTTTCCAAGACGAGTTATCATTGCTGAAAAACAGTCCATCTTCTTGGCCCCGCCAATAACATTTTTGTGTCTTGTTGCACAAACCCAACACCTCATCCTCGTCAAACACAGTAACCTCAGAGAGATGTTTTTCACCGCGTTTGAAGTCACAGTAAAAATGGGTAGAGGGAGGTACAATCCTGAGGCCAAACCCGAAGTTAAAGTCTCCCCCAATGTACAAGTTATGGTTTCCAAGATCATCATTCCTTGACCAACAATGAATCAACATTGGTTGGTCATTGTTGCTGAAACCATTGATGACATGAACTGTGTAATGGTTGCGAAAGGGATCAAGGTTTATGGAGCTATTGGCAGAGGCTAGAAATGGGATGATTGCAAGTATGGAAAGGAGACAGATAATGGTAGAGGAAGACATGGTGACTAATTTTTGGATACTATACAAATTAGGGTGACGATCATCCATATATAGCTACCCAAAATGAGAATAGACCACAATAGTGAGATTTTGTTGCCAATTATGGCGATACTTAAGCAAACTGAAAGTAAGTAATATATTTAACATATTAACTTTAGGACTCCCTCCTGCCATAAAAGAAAAACAAGAAGCAATCTACGTAAAGATTGAGTTTAATTAATGATTTTATGGAGTGTATATGCTATATTTATACAACATATGGAATTCAAATTCAAATCTCACAAGCTAGATATCTATCTTTATCATGTCGTAATCTATAGACATAATTATGGTAACTATTATAAATCTCTTCTACGATATGCTTAAACTCTTATTTTGGCTGAGTTCAATGCTGTGCTGGATGGTTTGATCACGGCGGCACGAACTGGGTGTCGGATGGTGGTTGTGGAATCGGATAGTTTGGAGGTTGTCCAGGTTCTTTCCGGGCAGCGTACTAGTCGGCTCCTGTCTCATCCTTTGCTATGTCAGATAAAGACTGCATGCAGACAGTTCTCTTTGGTGTGTTTCCAGCATTGTTTACGTGAGTGTAATCAGGTAGCTGATCTTTCGGCCAAATCCGCCCTGTCACTTGATGAAGGTCTCATGTTTTTTAAGGATTCGCCGCAAGGTGTCTTACTGTGTCTTGCAGCTGATTGTAGTTTTTCTCGTTCTCCAGTAGTATAAGGTCTTGCTAGACACTCTTTGTAACAAAAAAACATAAAGGAAAATTTTTTTTGGTACATGTACTCCGCCTCGATTTTTTTGGTACTCGTATCAAAATTTCATGATTTTTGGTACTTGTATTTGGTAGTTTTCATTAATTTTGGTATTTTCGGTGGCCGGAGAGTCGCCGGAGACAGTTGTTCACTTTTTACGTGAGGCTACATCATCTGGTGGTCAACCCCACCCAGGTTCCCCCGATTTCGACCAGAAACCACCAAAAAACCAACCCGTTTCAGGTCTAAATGAAACACCCCGACCCAAATTTACCCAACAAACAGTAATTACCAAATAACAATGCCGACACGTGGCACAGACATTAAATACAACAGGAAAAATCCGGCCCAACGGCCCAAAGATAATATCACGTCACCCGACCCCGGGTACAGCAGTATCATAAGCACAGCGGAAGCAAATTTTAATAATACAGCAATAGTATGAATCGACTCGATGCAACTATGGATCCAGATCTGTCAGAGGAGATGCCACAGCCTGCCGTGATGCATACCTGCACAAAGAACAACGTAGCCTGCCGATAGGGCAGGTGAGGGGTGAGATTCTCCACAATCTCACCGACACATAACCCATGATGAACATCATAGCATATACTTAACAGTCAAGTACATCAATATGGCATACAAGTAGTGAGCAGAACACTGATCAAATACGGTCACAAAGAATAATGCGGACCATGCAATTGTCCACCCCATCGACTATGCAATGCACTGACCATCTAATACAGACTGTACCATGCACTAGTGCCCGACCAGGACACTTCAACTCGACTACGTATTGGGTATCCGACCCGGTCTCAACAGATTTTATAATACATACTCTAGTCCTGACAGTCTATACTCAACAGAGGCTCCTCATCGCATGGTAACATACCGATACTGTGCTTGCCGACCATCTAACCCGGCACCAAAACAAACTCAATTCACGTGAGCCTCGCTCACCGGGTAGCCGACAACCTGCACGGACCATACCCAATCAACATCACAAACCGGTCCCCGGGTAGAATCACAACACAACACGGTAACAGCAGACACCACAGCAACTCGTAACCATTACAACAACAGTTCTCATTAATCCCGATCTCTGGGTATCGACATACCCTTAGAAATAATAATTACCCAACCGTCGACCACAACCGACAACCAACATATCTCAGTATTCATTAAGAAACGACAAGTGACACTCATCTGACAATTATCAAAGAAACCGACAACTAATAAGGATAACTGGCAACCAATGCCAACAACAACAGACCACAAATGACCAACGACAACAACATACATCCGCAAGCCGACAACCGATGCCGACCACGGCAACCGACTATACTGAGGACTGACAACCTCCCAATGTATGTTCATGAGACAACATGCAAATGAACATAACGCATCACAGCCCAACAAAGCAAAAACACCCACATCTCAAACAAGACTGAGCCAAGGCCAAAAGAATATCTTTTATTATTACCAATTTTATCTTCCGGGCCCCGTCACTGGACAAGCTAGGGGTCAGACCTGGATATCAACATATTTCGGGTGCCAGACCAAAATCCAGAGAACCCAGGGATCGACATCCCAAAAATACGAACCCAGGGATAGACATCCCAAAAATAATCACGGGATAGACATCCCAAGCATAGACATGCTTATCACAAGAACCCAGGTCAAGGCCACCACGAAACAGTCTTTACCCATCGAGTCAGACCACTACTTTCCAAGTGACATTAAAGTCGTC